TCGTCTTGCCAGAAAACGACCGATTGGCTTGCAAATGGTACTTTCGCTCTGCTCGGCTCACTAGCGCTCGCGGCAGGCAGTCGCTTCCACATCGGATTCTGGTATGATCCCAATTGCGTCTACTCATCGGAGCGGCAGTTCTGGGCCTGGAAAGAAATGGCAATGGAGAAGATTCTCAACAAGCTTGCCGCACCAGTTTGCCGGGACCAGAACATGGTCGCATGTGAACCAAACCTCGCTGAATACCAGAGAGAGCTTGACTATGCCCTCATAGAGGCTGCCAAAGCGGACGCTCATTCATCTGAAGTGATGAAGTTCCTTCTCGAAGCTGGTGCGGATATTGACAGTGAGACGAATTCCCACATCGTCGCACAAGCTTGGTACAATGCTCTTGACGAAGAAGTCCCGAGTCTTTTCAGATCAAAAGTGGAATTCCTCATTCGACATGGCGTCGATCGTACGAGAGTTTGGACGCCGTTGGACGGCTTACAGACACCAATGCAGTTTATCCTGAAAACACTTCATCGTTCCTGCCGGTACGCGACCGATGGAAGCTCGTCTATACCTAAAGCCCTGTATTTCATGGACTTTCTTGCGTCTTGCGGATGTCTGCGCTGGCCAAAGGTCACTGACATGTCCATGGACCAAATTGGAAACACTCATCTCTTGACAGCCAATTTTGATGGAAATGAGGCCGGCTCACAAGAGTTAAATTTTATTTTCTCTAATACGGATGTCTTAATCCGACCGCTTCAACGAGCGCTTCATCAGCATATTCTTCAGCAAGTGCTTCCTCCCGTAGAACGCCGGATGGCTCCGCTTCGGTTGCCCTTAGCTATTGTGCGTTTAGATGACTTGTACGAGGCATGGGTCTTCGGGTCAAATGATCCCGCGTAGATATTCTGGTTGTTGCGCGTCGCCGTAAGCCCCGAAGTATCAGGTTTTCATCTGGAAAAGAGTGATTAATACGGCGCGACGAACATGGTTTACGGGAAATAATGATGTGGAGCAGGGTCATTTGACGCGAGGGATATAAGCGTGAAATGAGTTATAATATCTGAGAAACATATTAAAGGCTTCGTTAGCTAGCATACGCCATCTTCGTATTGGAGAGTCCTTTTTCCATAGTGGCGAATTGTCAGGGAATTTACGTACCATTTTGGCATTTTTGTAAATTATGCAACGGCTTCTACTGTCTTTAAGTCATTAACCTTCAATAACTCTGCTATTAGAGTTCTTGAACCTGTATCATATTGTCAAAAACTTTTTCTGAAAGAAAAACCAACAAGAAGAAGGGTGTTCAAGCGTAATTATATCTTTACAGTTCTACGACTGATATGAACCAAGATAATCATATAGATGTTCACGAAGTAGCCATATATACTCAGAAGACCGACCAACCTGGATCATATCGAATTCAACCTTTGAATATTATTCCACAATATCAAAAGAGAATTCGACGAACAATGCGGAAAATAGAACCCCCACGATCAGATATAAATTTTATAACGTCCACAGTAGCTATACGTATAAGGTATCCCAAGTGATAACCTGAGCGGTCTCAACAGCTATCGATCCACATACATCTCAAGCGCTTAGAACATAGAAATACATTGTCACAACGATCAAACGAAAAACAAGCCACACTAAGACATAGACAAAATAAACACGCAGAAAATCAGAGTTATCGTAGGAGATCATGGGTACGTAAAGCAAACCTACGTTAGCCGTATAGGCTTCCATCTCCGCAAGTAAATTGCGTTCTCCCACAACAGAGACGGCCATCAAAATTCCCTATGATCTGGCCTATGTTCCGAACGTTAGTTGGATGAGTCAAATAGAAAGACAACAAAGAGCAAATCTATACCTAGATCAATGGTACTGGACACCTCGTTGCTGTCTTTGTCGGGCTTGCAATTGCAGGAGTACTTGCTCCCGTCAATAGAACAACCGGAACAGGAATCTTGAAAGTTTCCGCTGGTACAAAACGTCAGTTCAAACGGTACCATAGTCATGTTCAACCGGCTTACTTCTCATTGGCTTTGAGTGTACCCCCATCGTTCCAGAGACACTTGCTGAGCTTCAGTCGAGACCACACGAATCTTGAAGTGGTGTCGTTACACTGAGCTACCATCTCGTAGTCCGACACCGCCCAGTTCTGACATGCCCGAGGAAAATCAGCAGCTTTCCAGCCAGTTTCTGGGTTTTTAGGCCCTGCATTTCTGGAAACATTATGAGCGTACACGGCAGCGACGCAATACAGCAAGATTGAGAAAGACTTTGCAAACATGTCTGGAGGTCTGTCAGACGTATGCTCGCAGGGCAACTGTCGGTGCAGATAGTCTGGCTTAAATACTCCAGAACCTAATTTGATGAGTGCGTTTGTTTGACGTGCATAAACCGAGTTTTCTATGGAACGATTACTCATTGTGTGACATTACCAATCTCGAAGCTAGGGGTTGCTTTGAGTGATTGATATTATCTGAGGGATCCACATTGGCTGGCATGGTTTTAGATCATGCTAACGAATGAGAGTTTGCGGTAAATCCCGGTGTCAATGAACTAGTGACTGAGTTTGTTTCTTATATTAGTGATGGTTTTATAGGAGAGCCTTTGCAGGTTGGAAACGTAGTATCTTAAGAGTGCATGACGTAATGACACCTCCAATCAATATCAGCCTGGCACATATCAATCTTCCGGAATAGAGTCGTGAGGTATGCTGCGTTGGATACGGATGATCTCTGTTCAGGCTCGCGACGCGGTTCCCGAAGAATCTTCAAATTCGCCTTTGTAGCGGCGAGAACCATCGCTTGAATGCCTAGAAAGAAATGTCGGTCGCCATCACAAAGTGACGCTTTCTATCATGCTCCGCCCAGATGCCTGTTACTTTTATATACGATCGTGATGAGTCAAGGGTGTATTATTCATCAAACCTCAAGGCTACCATTTATCGAGGCGGAAAAATTGCTGATTGATCCAGTTATATAACCCTGATGTAACGAGACCGAAAGACTTTGGTAGAGTCTTTTCACTGTGTGGTCACTTTAAGTGAATGCTACTCAGGGTCTAAGGTACCCACCAATTACTAACGGAAAGAGTGACGGACAACGAGCCGCAACCACAATAGAGCCCTCCGAGGGATTTTTCGGGGAAGGTTATCGTTCTCATTCTAAGTACCGGAAAGCAATACACTGACCATGGTCCATAGCCGCTCATGAAATGAAGCACAATGAAGTAAATTGTCCGACAGCAACTTGAGGATGAAAGTAAGATGCAGTTGCGTTTGAAACCCCGATGAACATTCCCAAAAAAGTAATTGACTCACGTAACCGCAATCCAACTCAGTGGGTTGTGTCACGTTATGCCCTGGTTACGGAAGGTCGGTAATAGAATTCTTCCAAATCTATCAATTGACATCAGCGTTAACCAAGCAGGCTATGTCAGCGCGGGAAACCTATACATCGCTAGACTCTTAAATGCCAGGGCATGATTCATCAGGTATGGTAGGATTCATCGTAGGGTCTGTGGCCATCACCAGCAGCGTTGGAAGATGAGCCTAGCTTCCCTACTAGGGATGCCAGGGCAAAACGGCGAAAGTTGATATCTGTGAACATTTTGAATCTGCAAGGCTCTGTGAAAGCAGTGGACGGTCACATCTGCACTACTTGATTTCTGTCTTGCACGAGATGGTTGGACCTTTTGCTCGTTCAAGCATGGCGATGATGAAGCCGTCACAGAAACCAGCTGGCCCATGTGTCAAACCTGCCCATAGCCCTTTGACAGATCATCAGTATGCTTAGCAATGATATCATGAATGCGGATAGGTGTGGTTGTTTTACACAGAGTGATCTGTTGGGCCTTTACGAGTGGCATCTATCCCTTGTAGGGCAATCCTAGCCCGACTATGAGGTTAACTGTGTATTGACTGTATGCGGTGAGTTTCGCCTGAGCGAGGGTAAGATCGTGCGAATTAGTCATGGCCTACGCCTACAGCCATACCTGGAGGAAAGTACGCGTCCGACCCAACGGCTTGGTCGACGAGCGTAGATGTCAGTGAGACGATCAAGTTCGCCATGAGCACGGAAAGACCGGATGCACAAATCAACTAGCGGCAAATCGACCACAACTAGTTTTCAACCTCGCCACACCAACTTACAAACCAACCGACGTCGCTCCACGTACCCTCGTGTCATTGACGGCAGGACTAGCGTCGGCCGCCGTCGATAGCACGCCGGACACTTTGAGAGACACCTTTAAGATGGCCTGTTACTGATCCCACGAGCAAAAGTAACATCGGCATACAAACCCGAAAATGGCACATACGGAGACGGACCAGACTTGTACGGGCTTCTTGGACGCAAGGATACGAACGAAGTTGGACAATATGTAAATTAACATGCGAGCCCTAAACAGCTTCACCGGGGCGTAATAGAGCATGTACACATATGAAAGGTGGTATGCACCCGTGTGGCGTGCCAAGCCTATTCTTATCTTTTCCTCTTCTTCTTTCGCGCGGGCGTGGTATAAAACAAAATTTGGAGTCTGATCATAGTCGGCAGACAACAGTTGTGGGAAACACGTTCATCTAATAAACCCGGAGAGTTGTTTAGTCGGATACGAATACATGCACGGAGTGCAGCAGACCGGGTCTGGTGAATTGACAAACAGCATAGTCAACGAATGGAGTTCTTAGTCCTGGTGATTGACCAGTCGGAGCCGTGACGGCGACTCTTTGAGGCGGCTGCTGACAACTGCACGTTAGACGACATGAGGGCGTCAGCCTCCTCTCACTTATCTGGATGCTTTGCAGAAGCACTATCCGGAGAGCTTTCTTGTTGGCGGTAGTCGTTCACCGCACGTGCTTATACAACATATTCCTAATGACTACTTTCCCAAGGACTGGGAGTTCAATCCCTGACCCCACCTACTGGCGACTACCAGCCACCGGACATTGCTGCTGTCTCGTTTGTCCTCCCCCTCGAATGATCAAGTAGTCTATAGGGTCATCTATAGATGGTGGCGTTCACAACTTTCTACAGAGCACTCTTCGATGTAGGTTTGCCGAGTCTCATTGCCGTGATCAACTGTCATTGAAACACTTCTTGGCCTGTCTTCAAGCAAGCATTTTGAAAGAGCATTGGGGAGTTGCATGAGCATACTAAGTGTCTCGGCAAACAAAAGCTCACATGTCTTGTGCAATAGGCAGCTGATCACGTCGTCTTCGGCCTTCTCGGCACTGAGGAACTCGGCCTTGTGATGTCCGAAGGTGTCGGGCAGTCTCAGCGGATACGGAAGCCGCATCGGCTGCAATGCGTGTGTGTGGCACGGTGCACTCAATCATTGGCATATGGCTGGGGTCCGATTAACCACATCATCCATCCTTGCATCGGCGCCTGTTGCCTGCGCCTTGTGCCAAATCAGGCGGCCTCCATACCGTCGGGGATCCCATTACTGACCTCCGGTTGGTGGGCGATAGGTCGGACATGGGGTGATAGCTGACCCCGAACAGCGAAAGCAAGTACCTCAGGCCAGCAGTTGACCCAGCCAAGCTGCAAGCTCGTCCAACCAATTCACGACTCTGCTACTCCGTACATTGGAGGATCGTTGCATCGACTGGGAAGTGTGCCTTGTCGTGGGTTCAACGTACCTCGTTGAAGCTATTTCGTTGCTGCCTTGCTTCTACATACTGCGTAGACAATACGGCCCACACAACAGGGGCAATCATGGGGCAATGACAAGACAATTTGGCCATTAGTACGGAATACCAACTGGAGCCTTTCCCGCGCCGGCAAGGATCACACAAGCATTTGCTCGCACCGAAGAATGCCCCACGCAAGGCCCAAGGCCGGACGACAAACCGGCGTTGACGGAAAACAAGGTGGGGCGCCGGAATTAGCGTATGTTTAGTGCACGTTGTTGGACACATCGTATGTAAACCCGCGGTCGTTTCGTCCAGCGTGGAAGTGCGGCCCAACAAACCTTCGTTGCAAAAAATGTTCAGATGAAAGACGGGCAGCGTACGGAGCTCAAGGCCGGCCGAATGATACGAGCATAACCATTTTCACCTTAGTCGACATGTCGACTTGATTTAGGCCCCTTTTTTCTTGTTTGTCCTGTTCTTCTCACACAACAAAGCTCTTCGCATTTCTAGTGCTGCTGCTGCATTTGCGGAAGGTGATGCGCCGCGCTCTCCTGCCCATTTGCGCTTTCCAGCTAGGCCTGTGTTGATTTATTATCGGCGCTGAGTGGTACGCTTTCGTACCACGGCCTTCTGCTACAAGAGCCCCTCGAAGTCTGATTTGGCATGGTCGGTTTTGGGGGTTAGTTGATAATTCGCGATGCTTGTTAATGGACGTCGTCGGTTGTCTGCTTCTATGGGTGTCGTTAGTGATATGGTGAGGAGTGATATATCACACTTGAACGGTCAGTCTTGCTCACGGTTACTTTTGCCGTTAGTGTTGTGTTTGTTGTGATTAACCGAACTGTTCAGCACCCCGCCCACATGACAATGTGTCCCACACTGCAATAGTCCAAGATGCCGCCAACGTGCCTGCGTCCTTGCGGTCGCACTCCAAAGCTTCGTGCATTCAGCGTCATGGCAAGGATGAACAACACTTCGCCAGGTTACGTCCATTGCTCAGAACATTTCT